GCTCAATCAACACCGGGCACAAGCTTGTCCAAAGATCTGTCTCTTTGGACGTTTGCCTACAAGGGCCATCAGGTTGTTCACCGGATTTTTGGGCATTCCCATCCACCCGTAAAGTCCTGGTTGTTGGCCTGGTTGCAGAATCATGAAAATGCAAGGCAAAATAACACAAACACAACTATCTCTCTCCTGACAACACACGCTGATGCACACAACCACATTGAAGAGGCTGCTTCACGTTGCACTCTCAGGCCCCTTCCAACCTGGCCTCCTTTCCTATTCAGGAACTGCTGTTTGAGCCAAACATGCCTTTTCCTTTATTATGTACGGTACATAATTGTAGGAAGCGCCCACTACTAAACCGAGGCCCCGTGCCGGGAGCTTCTTCTCCTCCGGGATCTCCGGATATCTCCTAAGGTCCCTAGCCCATCGACCATCTGACCAGGAAGTAAATGCCAGGGGTCTTCACACATGTTTTTCTCGCTTAGGTGTCTGTGTGTGTGTGTATGCCAGGGAGTGATGATCATTCCTTGGGCTGGCCGAACAACAAGATCTTTCAGCTTGTCCGCCCAAGATTTCAACCCTACTCATCATGATTCGAGCACACACGGGCGCTACTCACCCAGCTTCAGAATAAGAGCCAATGAGCCGATTGGGACGTTTCACGGGTCATGGAGCCAAGACCATCCCTATTGACTATTCCTGTGACTGTGGAAGAAAGACGTGGAGGACCCCAAATCTCTGCACAGTTTCCAGCGGAACTAACTGGGCAAGTAGACAGTAGGGCATGCCAAGCGAAACCCAGACTTTTGGGTATGGCTCACAAAGTGGCCATGCCGGCATTTCACTCTGTGTTTGATGATGAATCTGTAGATGGCAATGCGGACTTCACTCAAGTTGCAGGTGGCAATTTGAGAATGCATCCCATCCAGGGCAAAATGCCTTGTTGTTCAGATGCGTGAACATGGCCTTCAGCATCAAACGCTCATCCAAAAAGGGGTTTGTGTTCATAACATGAGACTGAAATCACCAAAATCGGCATCCCACGTCTCTGCGCCTTTGGCTTCACCCGAATCTGCATGGCTCCGGGGCACCCTGCTTTGGCGCATCCATCATGTCGCCATGCACTCCAAAGGTGTCCCTGGCCCCATGTCTGGTCCAAAATCGCATGGCAAGTGGCACTATGGGTGTGATTGTTTGAACCGAGGAACGCTGGTGGACACAATTTTGAGTGGTGAGTTGCGTCCCCCAACCACTCATCAGGGGATTCTCTATTAAACAAGCAGTGCCATACGTTGCACCGGTGCAACCATTACACGGGCACTGGCCCTATGTGGCCCAATGCAACCCCAAGTCAAAAGCAACTTAGCTTGAGCCGGTCAGCAACATTCAGATTTCGAAATTGAATTCTGACACACGCTCTTGCACTGATTCAGCTCACAAACACATTCAAAAAGCTTGTCCTTTCCTGCTTCTGCGCTTCTACACAATGAGAGCATCTCCAAAATCCTCCCAAGCTTGGCTGTAGTGATCTCCCGGCAGGCGCTTCGCTCGAAAGTGCCTGTGGGGATCTTGGCTTAAAGAGAGCAACCTTCTTAGAACCAGCTGCCGCAATATCCTGCCATGGAAAAAATCAAATCAACACGTCTTGCAAGTTCCAGCACTAAAACGCCTTTGCCCTGTACCGAGTTCCATTGCAATCTTCCAACTGCGTGAGCTCCTGGTAAACCACCCATTCATCCCTCAGGATTGGTGACCCAGAAAAGCGCCAGGGGCCTCTGGCTTTAAGATTGGCGGCTCCCGGGCCCAGTGGTCACCACAAAGAAACCCGCTCCCTCGATGCGAACCGGGGAACCGCACCCGCTGCCGAAGTGCAGCTTCACCTTGTCGCCTGGGTTCAGTGCCTCAGCAACGGCACACCGCACATTGTGAGGGGAAGCAGAACAGTTTTGCATGGTCTCAATAACGCAGTTCCCCGGAAAAGGGCGTGGTGACCATCCCCATGGTCAAGATCGAAAGGCCAAAGCAAAGGAGCAACAGCGCGGAATGTGGCCAAAAAGCCCAGCAAAACCCAAAGGAAAAGGTTTGGTCGGTACTGTGGAGCACCCTGAAGGATATGTTTCATGCTATGGGCCGGGGTGCATCCGAATGAGGGGGCTTTGACATGTCCCGTTTGCCAAATGCTTGTCTCCAATGAAAAACCCGAGTGTTCAACTGTGGTGGGCAAAACTATTTCAGTTGCTTCCACGTAATAATACTCTGCTACGGGTCTTCCATGTAAGCTGAAAACACGCTTCCCGAAATTTGGCACCCCCCACAAATGGCTGGTTACACGTCGATTCTTTTCGGTCACAGTCGAGCAAAGGGTATCTAATTTAGGAAACACTCGTCGTCCCCTGCTGCACAGGTGCCACTTGGACCCGGACCTTCTTGTTGTTCTTGATGTTCCACATAACCTGCAAGCATGCGGGGATATACTGTAAGGCGCGTCCCACTTGAAAACCTCTGCTACCACAGGCTCAAAGCGTAAGCTTTGCCTCACATAATTGCGCTACACAAGAATCTATCGGCCGAGAGCACCGCACACTGCCCACTCATTGTTCTTCAAGGCTAGGCACACTCAATTACAGCAATCCACCGTGTTGGATGAGGTGGGGCCAACTTTCAACGTCTGCGGAGTGCCTCTGTGAAGTGTGGCTCATCAGAACTAAAACTGGCAACACAAGTTCAAGAATTGATCCCTTGGAGGAACAGAAAGTTCCACCCTTGAAGTCCACCACGAGGCCACACGCTTCAAAGGGTCACCTGGAGCACATGGACAAACTGAAACTCAGATGACTTGAAGGTGTGCGAATCATGGACAGACAAAGCTGTTTCAAGCGGGAAAGAAGGCAAGCCTGCCTGGCGACAGCCTCGAGCGCTCTCTAACTCAGAACTTCCTCTCGTGGAACACAAGCATTGCTCGGAGTCAAATTGCATTCTCCGAAGAAATCAGCCTGGATCTGGAACTCAACTGGATCGCCCTTCTTGGTGCACACCAGCTCAACGAACTCCTGAGCATTGTGCAAACCTCTGCATTGAGATGGCACCCTTAGGCCATCTTTGGTGGCAGAACATGCAACATGAAGCCTTACCGGGCCTTACCATGTCCCATATGTTTGGCAATCTGCGGTACAGGCTTCAAAACTCGCGGAAGTACCTGCACTGCAACTCCGGTCCGCAATTCCAGTCCTCCACCTTCTCCATCAGCTCCATGATGGTCGCATCTGCTCCGATCTTGAAGGGATACTCCTGGCCCAGGCCCGAAGCTGTCGAGACCAACAAGCCACTTGGCGAAAAGGTCCGCGGTCTCGGCCTGCCTCAAGCAACCTTCGACAATTACATCGGGCTGGGACATGGCACGTCAGGGGAGCGGGTAGCCAGAGGAATTTGCAAAGCCGCTCCCTGGGAAGCTGCTGAGCCTGGAGTGCCAAGGTTCAAAGCAAGAACCGGAGCAAAACTAAACGCCACCAAGCCAACGTTGGGCCATGTGCCTTCTTTCCTGCCCGACGGCTTGGAGCAACGTGGGAGACCAAAAACATTGGAACGCTATGTGGCTTCCTTTCAACTGCATTCAAGTAAAGCCCATTCCGTTTGTCCCTTCATGCCAGCATGCCAGCCCGAAGCCCACAATCAATCCTTCACCCCCAGCGCGCACCAGCCATACCGCCAGGCTTAACCGTTTAACCCCCTGCCTTGAAGTCCACCTCCGCGATGGGCGCAGGCAACTTCATGCTGGGGTGGAAGCAGCATATCAAGGACTCAGGCAGTCGCGCGCCACTGCGTGCGCGAGCGCCAGCGCCAGCAGACGTGTTTGGGCAAACCGGACAACCAACTGGCGCAGCTCTCAGGAGCTCTGCTTTGAAGATGCAAACTCTGTGGGGTACCAGTCTATCAGTACATCCTAAGGCTTGCAATACCCTGTTCCAGGACGCAAGCTGCAAGAACAATGCGTTGTAACCCTTCTGGATTCGAGGCAAACCAGTCAGAGCCATGACTGTTGCACAGGCACAAATGTAGGATTGCAAGCGCTCAAAGCGAGCTAATCATCGTGCTGGCAACACAGCGAAAGACACAACATGCATAACAAGCTTCCCTTGCACAAACAGTTGACGCAACATTACTGTACGATTGGCACGATTCTGGAAGGACCTCGGCAAAAGAAGCTGCACGTATGACCATCACTTGGAGTGGCACGATCTCCCTTGCAGTGGTGATAGATACTTACACTAGCATCGTACATCATCGTCAGTTGATCGTCTTGCTTGGGTGCCACAACTTGGACTCGCACGTTGGACCCTGTATTCAAGCGGCTTGCTGTTGAATGGGAAAGTTGAACCATCTGCCCACATCTTGTCTTCAGCTCTGTTGCTGCAAGGGCCAATCGGCCAATGGCCCAGAAGCATCCATCTAGCTTGGGCAGAGCAAGGAGTATCATTGAACATCTGCCTCCATGATCTCCATGCACGTAGCAACGTATTATGTAGAGCCCAGCAAGAAGACAAAAACCTTTGCTGGCATTATGCCAATGATCAGTGTAGCAACACTCGACTTACTTTCGCAAACACCAACGACTCCAGGTGCTTCACGATTCGTCAACTTGAACTGGTGGATTCATCCGATCCCAAAACAAAAGAAGACACATGCGGAATCAAGCCCTGAACAGCCCCTAATCCTGGGGCGCCCAGCTAGCTCCGCCATAAACCTGGCAAACCAAGCTTGAAGCCCCTGTTGTGCTAGATTGTAGGCTGCCACATGTGAAGGCTTCCATAGTTGTTCATTTGTTGTTCGTCATGTTTGTTCTTCAAAACCTGCGACCTGCGAATCGTTGCGTGACGTTGGCAGGCAACATATACAAGCCCTTGTCCGGTCTGGTTACTCCGGTCGTAGCCTTCATTTGACTCGAGCGGCCCAGTTAGCTTCTTCCGCTTGCTGGGGGCGGACTGGCGGCAACAGCACCCTCCTCACTTCTTCGGCTTTTGCTTGTTGAAGTCATCAATCATACGCTGCGTATGCTTAGTCTCCTTCATCGCCCGCAGGTAGTCCTCGAACTTCACCCACGACTCCTTCTTCTCAGGGTCGAGCACTGTGCCCCATTGGTCATACAGCCCAGTCTCATTGAGCTCTTCACAAATCTTGTGGTGCAGCTTGATGGATCCGTGCTCCATCAACTCCATGTGGGTGGCATACTCTTCACCTTGGCCGGCGTTGTACTTCTTGATGTCCGGCTTGAGCCCCTGGACGCAATCTTGGTAGGCGTTGCAAACCTCGACGAGGATCGTGCTCTTTTGGCGCGGTAGAGGCCAATCAGGAAGGTTGACCACCACGCCAATGTGACCAATCTGTTTTGTTTCGTCTTTATCAAACTCCCACCAGCAATTCGTTTCAGTGGGGCCCTCCAAGCGGTGGAAGTGGATCTCCTCGACTCGCCGGCCGTCAGCCCGGGGCTTCGTAGTGAGCTCGTCAAAGATCTTCGCGAAGGTCTGCGACTTTTCGCGCCAGCGCCTGATCTCGGCCAGCCACTCCGCGCTGGCGCCGACCCACTGGAAAGCCTTCGCCGCCATGGCGCGAGAGAGCAAGCTCGCGAGAGATTTCAACCGAATTCGCGACAGTACTGCAACAACGGATTGCCAAGACCGTGCTGCAAGATCTCGCGGCTGGACGGTCTGTATCTCACGAGATGTGCTGGCGGCTCAGGATTGGGGAGTGCGCGCTCTGGGCAGTGACCCTGTCCAGCACTGCAGTTCAAATGTCCGAAGAACGGCTGCAGCATCATCCGTGTTCCAATTCCATGCCTGAGCTGCATGGAACGGACAGAACGCAAGGGGATGATTGATGAATTTCCACATGACCAACCTTGCCACTGTGGCCCGGCCCTGCTTTGGAGGAGGGCAAGAGGGGGGGCTCGGGCCACGGTGAAAAGAGGCAACAGATGTGCTAGAGGCTAGTCTTCAGACATCTCTCCACCCAAACTAAAAAGTGCAGCAAGATGTGCCCGATGTGTTTCGTTTTGGGAGTTGGGCCTGGCTGGGAACTGTTTGTCTTCAAGGCAAATAGCAAAGGATCCTGGGAAAAAGACTCATTCGGAGCAAAACAATGCAGGGTGATTGAGCCCAGTTTGACAACCATGCAAGCTCCATGGCAGGCACAATCAATGGACATAATATGATGGACAACATGTAAAACCCTTCACTATGAGTCTACCTCCGGGACCAGTCGTACAAAGGTGGCGCTGATATTCCAACATAACATTGAGGAACAGCTGTGACGAAAGGAGAGTTCCACTAAATCCATGCAATTTCGCAAACAGGCAACACATAAACAGCAACAAAGGGTCACATGACGCTGCAAAACACGCAAAGCAAAACAAGAAGCAACACTTCGGAATCAACAAGGGCACCGCCAGTACCAGCGGCTCAACGTTAAGATGCTTCTGTCAGCACATGTCCGCTCAGCAGCCTCACCGCGCGCAACCAAATTGCGAGGCCACCTATGAGCAAAATGCTGCACACGTTGAAGACGAATCCCGTCTGCTGACAGAAAACTCATATCCTAATGCAAGTCCTGAATTGCTACCCCATGCTTTAATCTGAGCAGCTGATTGATAGCCCGCAGTTTATTCTAGGATGATCACGAGTCATGACTTTCTTGGGGATCAGCTTGCCAGCTAATCGTTGACATGGGTGCCGAGTGCCCCCATCCCAATTGACCCCCAAATGGCAATCTCTTGACCCTCCAGAAAACACGTGGCTGTCAGAAAAACGAAAAGCAGCACAGTATCACGGTGGATCCAGTAGGTCCATCCAGTATCCAGCCGTGCAATCCAAAGCTGGCACTTGCGCAGCATCAAACACCAATTCTTTCTCCGCGGCTAATTGCTGTCGGAGGATCGAACGCATGCTTCGCCGCTGTACTTCTTAAGCGAGCCTAGAGCAATCTTGTTTCAGCCTGACGAGTCGGCTGAGCACGAGGTGAGAGGGTGGCCGGGCGGCCGGTAACCGAGTGGCCTCACGCACGCAAACTAGGTTGAAACGCAAGGGCATGGCATCGGCTCATCGGTGATCTCTTGTGACAGAAACAGGGTCTGTGAAGCTGGGGTTGCTCGATGCGGGGTAGTCAGCCCTTTCTAGGATGCATCATCCGACACTTGTCTGCACACGTACTCTGCACCACAGCAGCCTCCAAATATACACTCCAATGAGCTGATGATGAGTAATTGACGTTTAAGTTACTTGTTGGTCACAGGCAACAACTTGGTCTCAGCATGCTACGAAATGTGGCCCAAAATCCCCCCCCCCCCCCCCAATTCTCTCATTGTCTTCCCCTCCTCCTAAAGGGTCTCATGCCAAGACCACCTGATGGACCATTCATCTTCCTTTGCCAAGTGTTCTTGCCAACTTCGGCATAGCAACAATTGCACTGTGCTGTGGCCACCAGCTGCTTGCTGCTCGAGCATCACGCCAAGCCCTTCAGTCGATCCTTGCCCTGACACGGACCTTTGGAAACTCGTGCGTTTGCGCAACAACGCTCCATTTTAGGAAAGGTTCCATGGGAAGGGCGGCAGCCAATGAAGCAACACAGCACCGCTAACTATCCACTTCATCCTTTGACAGTCACAAAGAGTCACAATGTGCATTTGGTCCTTCTGCATCAGGGCAGGCGAGCTTTGCGCTGTCTGCGGTGCAGCCTACAAAGCGTCCTGGAGGGTGGGCATCTTGGAAGCTCCCAGCGGCACCCGATTGGACTTGGACCAGCACGGTCTGTTTCGAAAGCCACAATAGTTCAATCCTTTGACCTCAATGCGCAGTTCTTCAGCCACTGTATGACAATAAACTTCGAACTATTCTTCATGATTGAGTCCACAAAGTGTTTTTGGGCGCCTTGAATCTGCGCACTCCTTTACTATGGCATCTGAAACCTAAACAGTGCACGCCTTTCTGGGTGCCCTCTCTTGAGCAAGTGCCTCTGGACCCTGCCCAGGATCGCATCTGCACTCAGGGCGACATGAACTTCCTCAGCTAGCTGGAAATGCCATGTAGCCTTGATTGACGACGGGCAAACAAATTTCAAACAAGCAAACATGCAAACAACAAACAAGAAGGCATACATGTGCGAAGCTGAACACGGCAAGAAGCATCCGTAGATGCAATGTCTTTGGTCATTGCGCCCAGATCAGCAGTACCTCCCCCTGGTTGAAGAAAGACCCAACCCTCACACTGCCACAGTTGTGTGATGGTGTCCAGCACATGCCCTCGTCAGCCTGCTGCATTGCCGCTTCTGTCCTGTTGGCGCCGCGGTTCTTCGTCATCCTCACTACTGCATGCTGACATTATTCTGTAGAACTATGCAGGAAGTGTGGTGCTTCGCGGTTGAGATTGTTTTTTGTTTGCTTGCAAAGGACGTAAGATATGCCATGAAACTAGACGCAGCCGCCCCATCGCCTCAATCTACAGCCACGAGATGCTGCAAATACTCTGCACGCACGTTCGCCGGACGTATCTGACTGGCTTCGCAAACATGTTGTGCCACAAATGCTCATCTTTATTGCTTGGCAGCTCTGATTTCGAGGGCATCTCGTTCAGTTGTGGTTGTTAGTGGCGTCCACACCAAGCATGCCCCAGCGTTGCATTGACATGTTCAAACAACCGAGATGTGCTCCCATGATTGCTGAGAAAAAATAAGAAAAAAAGAAAACAACAGGGCTCTGCAGAGGTGCTTCCAAGGACGTGCCCAAATCCATGTTCAGGATGCAGGGGCATGGTAATGATGAATGGAGACATATGACTTCCAACCATCACGTGTTTTGCACAACGCCCATACCAAAGCCCCAGTCGATGCACACTCTACAAAACATCGCTGCATCAGAAGCCCTCAGCTGGCCAAGGAGCTCATCGAAGCATACCATCGGCTCCACCCTTAGCCCAGAGCTTGTCTGGCCCTCTGTAGGAAGTCTGGTAATACCCTACTACTCTCCCCGTATTATTCCTTCAAACCAAAGAATGATCGCCGGCGAGAAACATAGAAACTTTCAGGTTGCTTTTGTTTGTTGCTTTCAAAAAGAAAACTGTCTTCGTGTCTTCTACAGAACTTCAGACAGGCTTTGTGTCGGCGCATGGAAAGGTAGCCCTATGTCATTTGGCCGTCCATCAGACATCCACAAATGAAGAAGCATAGTCCTGCTTGACTCAAGGTTGATGCAGAGTCAGAATCAGAACGCCCGGAATGAAAGGCTACAAGGCGAGTAGAAAGTAATCTGCAACGGCCGCGATTGCTCAGGACAAAATAGGCTCTCGAGCGCATGGTCTCATATTCACTCTGGGCAATCAGCCTCAACTTTTTCACAGGACCCGAGAGCGATGCGCACACCTGTCTACCCGTCTTTGCAAAGGTGCTGCTTCGGGCATGCAACTTGCTGGGTCCACAAAACATGCAAACGAGCTTCGGAACACCAGGCCCTGAGAAAACGCATGCAAGTTACCCGCCCCCTTGAACGGAAGCTGTCAGCCAAGCAGCCCCCATCAAAAAAGACATCGCCTTCTGCATTTGCATGTTGACGTGCGCAAAATCCTGCGAAGCAGCTCGCACATGTGATCGGAGCAAGCAAGGTCTCGCCTTGTCTTGTCACCAGAAAAGGCGTAAACCAACAATCCGCAGCATCTCCAAGTGACTTTATAAAGCTGCAGTAATCATATTATCGTCGCCACATTACCGTAGTGCACAGTTAGCATCTAGTTTCCGGCCTTCCAACACCTGGCGCCCATGTTGTAAGAAACGCAGAGCAACTCACCGGTATGAGCTCAACAGGCACACGCATCACGCGCGAGGATGTCAAACTGAGAGAGAGAGAGAGAGAGAGAGAGAGAGAGAGAGAGAGAGAGAGAGAGAGAGAGAGAGAGAGAGAGAGGCAGAGAGAGACAGAGAGGCCAACAGGGTTCACCACTCTCACCTCTCTGCAACCGTGCGTGAGAATGTGGTCGGCATCAGCCCAGCCCAAAGGAATGATTGACAGGCGGAAAGACTGCCACCTGCAGCACGCCAGGCCCAGGAAAAACACGCCTTACTTGCTTCCCAAATGGCAGCCCAAGAACAAGGATCAAAATATCGACCGAGACTTCTTGAGCGCCTACATGCCATTTTAATATGCTGCTGATGGCGCTGAGAAGCATGGATAACACATCAAAAGGCCATAATCCTCCTAGCTAGGACAGAAATGTCGCCCAAGCTGGGCCAGTCAGCCCAGCTTTCTGTGACTACAGCACGCTCACAAACAACCGGTGTGCACTTCTAAACTTCTGCCTTGAGGGTGAAAAATCAGCGAAACATGGAAGACTACCATGTTATCCCTCCCCGCGCCTTGTTGTTGGCAAGTGCCTCCTTGGAACCCGCTGGTGTCTCGCCCACTCGAGATGTCCAACAATGGAGGGGCGGATGGGGGCCCCTTTCTGCAGCTAGCAACCAAAGTTAAACCAACTATTCGGAAGCAGATTCACTTTTTGGGGACGAGCCCCTAATACTTCAGACAATCAATCATTTCATAGGGCATCTTGCGTGCCAACCCGAAAGCGTGTCTGGGCCTACTGCATAGTCATTGCTGGCTTTCACAGCAGACACACACGCACACGGCTGGGCTTGTTGCCTGGTGCTAGCAACAAGGCCAACATTGAAAAAGTGCCCTCGGCAAGCTTCAGCTATCATATGAGAAGCGGATCGTTGTAGCCAGGGCCCAGGTGCTTTCCTTCATGCCAATCATCCCTGTTGCAGCCGGTTTTTGTGGCCATCAGGTCGTGAAGGAAGATTGAAGCGCGCCTAGTAATAGACAGCCAAGTGCGAGTGCTATGAGGGAATGAAGCATAAGCGATCGCTTAAGCATTTCGATTCATGATTGAGGCGAGGGATATCAATCACATCACCGGTATTCCCAGAAACCGAACAAGTGCTTTGAGCAAGTGGCAAAGTGCTCTGCTCACCTGCCTTGCAACCGTTGCTCGTCTTTGCTAACAATGAACTAACTGGAACATTCACCGAGTGCCATGCGTTTGAGCATGAATACTGCTGCATCAACACGACAACCAGTTTTCTGCTTGTGTCTTGCTTGGACTGGCCGTGTCCATCTGCGAAAGGGCGATGCTGAGAGTTGTATCCAAGGCACGTGGTGAAGCACCACAGCATGTTCGATGTCCTCTGAACTGAGGCCATACTTGTCTTCCACCTGACAGCAAACAAGTTTCTTGTGTGGAACGCAGCAGAGCCAAGGAATAGTGCCAGCTGATAAGTGTTCCCCTAAACTCACTCAAGCAGGATGACCAAATCGAAATCAAGTTGCTGAGAGTGGCACAATGGAAGCCTCAGGCTAGCTGGGTTTAGTTGGCTAAGATTTCGGGTTGGTTTAGGGTGTTTTTCGGGTTGCTGCTTTTTGTTCGGGTGGGTCCAGGGCTCGGAGCAGCGTTGCTTTAGGATGGATTCAGGGTGGGTTGAGGTGAGCTTAGGGTTGGTTTAGGGTTGGGTTTGGTTTGGCTTAAGGGTGATTAGGGTGGGCTTCTTACCACGAGGACCAGCAAGGGATCGGACGACAGTGGCTCAGTATGCCATGAATAGATGTTTATTTTAACGCAACAAATCAATGCAAATTGTTTGCGATTCCCGCCTGCTAACTCACTTCATCAAGCAGAAATGCAAGATCCGCCAGCCACAAGCCTCTACCCTCGGAAGTATCAGCTTGGGTCCATAATGACTGTCTGGCAGCCACATTTCCACCAGCCAGTCGGAGGCAGCGAGAAAATCCACTGAAAGGTCAAGAACCTCATAGAATCAATGCAAGTGCAAGCTTCCATTGACCGGCTTTCCAGCGTCTCTGCCACGGAAACCTAGGATATGTTAGTCCCCTTTCTGAACTCTAATTATGACAAAAGTTGTTCTGAAGGATACTCTGTCTAAATGGATGTGCTTCCTAGACATCCTCACGGTTCAGGATGCAACCTGCGTCCGTCCCTGCCTTGGCCCCGACCATGGCTTGTGCCGTCAGGGTCACCGTCTTGCTGTCGTAGTTCGACTGCGCGCCGAGTGAAACCGAAACGCACGGGAAATCAGGCGGGCATGGTGCGGACCTCAACGGAGTTGTCTGCTTGCGGAGTATTCACCCATGCATGATGTAGATATTGCAACGCACAACAATATGGCCTGATTCTTGTGCATCCCAGCACCTTGCTTCGAAGCTGCGGGTGCTAAGAAGGAAAAACGGCGTTCTCTCAACACACAGCGGTACAAGCTTCCATGCTAGCTTGTGAGAGCAGGGTGGCTTTCAGCCAAAAGGGAACCAAACCCCATCTTGATCCTCCCAAGGATCTCTTGCATAAAAGTCATACAAAACGCGTGTGTTGACTCATAGTCGGTTGATGCAAATTGCTAGAGATCCACTTACTTCTTCCGAACAACTGCCCCAACCCAGCTGAAAAGTAAGTTGCTGTGCTGTCATTTCATGCCATCAGCGCCTTAGAACGTTCGTTCTGAGAGCTGTTCCGGACTTCGTTACCCAGGGTTCGACCCTTTCCCCCGTTCCTCTCTTCAGCAGAATGTGTCAGAATTCCACAAACAAGTAATGTTCAAATCTGTATCTGTATTTGCAACGGCGCGTGTGGCGCGCATTCTGTTTGTCCACCCTTCCCACCCTCTTTGCCTTGCTTTGCAAACGTTTCTCGCTTCCAACATTGTGGGCCAAGTCTGTCCAACATGGCATGTTGACCCCCCACACAAACAGTTGCTCCCCCATCACACTCTGCCAATCTTTGCCGCTTCTGCTTTCGCCCTCAAACTGGAAAACAGCGTGATACGGTGGGTGGACAGAATCCTGCACCACCGTCGCAGCATTGGGTTGCACGCCCTCGCGCTCCCTTTTTGATACACGCTGAAGGAAAAGAAATTGAATGGACGAAATCCTGCACCACCTTTAGAGCCCATCAAAGCAACATTGAATATGGGGAGCCGGGGGTCCTTCTACACCCTTGTTTAACTCGTTGATTTAAGTGATGCAGGATTTCGTACACCCACAGTGGTTACCAGTTTGATTGTTGGGCAGTGATTCTTGCTCGCAAAACTGGATGATCATTCATGTTTCTCGAGTTTTTGATTTCAGGTCATTTCCGTGTTGAATCACCCAACAGAAATCAGGTCCTAGCGGCATCAGCCACATAAACTAGCGGTAAAACCAATCATGCACAGAAAATATTGAAATACGCAACCTGGCGACGCATGAGTACGCTGCAAACATTTCTCTTTAGCCACACGCTACACCCCCGCCCCCCCCGCCCCGCCACCCCGCAAGAACATGTCTGTCCATTCTACAGTTTCACACTGACTGAAAAATATTCTCGCCCGGCAAGTATACTCTATGATGTATGACATCATTTACCCGGTTTCCTCTTTACAAGCATTAAGCATTTGAGGGAAGGGCATTGACCTGTTTAGTATTCTTGCAGGGAGCCTCAAGACCTTGCATCTGGGACCTCTGGGAAGCAGGGCAAGTCCTGGCCTTATTGCTATGTACACTGAGCTGGATCCCATCTCCAGTGCGAGTCTGCGAGTCAGCTGCCTGGGTCTTGGTCTCTCGAAAGTCCTTCACCAGCACCTGCACTTCCTGAGAACTTCTGGAAAGCCCCTTAGGCGCCGTCCTTTGATGGAGTTTTGTTTGGGGTCTTGTGAGCTTTGGATTTGGTTCCTTAGGACTTTCGACAACATCAGAACCCTGTGGACACTTGTGCCTTGTGACGAAAGCGCAGAACCCTTATCGGAAAATAATCTGAATCTACATATTCAGCCAAGTTCGCCAATTTGTGTATTACTTTCTATATATATATATATATGCTCACCCCCCCCCCCCAGGGCCTACCTTTGCACTTCAAAATGTACAAAACCCTCTTATTTTAAAAGACAGGGCGTGTGAGCATATATACGCAAGAAGTGTGCTGTTGCTGCATATTGTTTTGTGGGTGACAAGTCATGTTGAGTAACAAAAGCAAAGAGTTTATAAACTTACAAGACAGTTATAAACCATGTCAAGGGTTTGACGGTTTCCCTGCAACAAGGGCAGGGGGGGGGGTCAGAACTCTTTACGGGGGGGAGGGGGGGGGGGGTACTGAGAAGTCTTTACAAAGTTGGCTGAGTCACACCTCACTGCTAAGAGACCAACCACCCCCCCCCCCCCCTCCCCCCCAAGACTTCCAACCAACCCCCCCCCCCATCCTTCAACGATACCATGAACACTTCGTAGGGTGTTGTTGCCTTGACGCGGGAAACTCGTCAAACACTCAATAAGGTTTATAAACTTTCCTGAAAGTTTATAAACCTTCTGTAGGCTTATTGCGTAGCAAGTGGAGACTGTTGTTTGGGGAAAAAAAGGACACTCATTTGAGGCCTTGTTTGATGTGGTTTGGGCATGTGGTCCTAAAAGGTTGATGATTGTGTGTGGGTGTGTCATCACTGCTGCACTGTTATATCAAAGGCTGTCCATTCGGTCCAAGGGAACACAATCTGAGCAACTGCTGCAAAACACTGTGTTTTACAGCATTTTGTTGGATCTCTAATCCCTTGAAATGTCCAATTTGAAACACCTGAAACCTAGAATCTGGAAAATGTTGGATTCTCCAAGCCTCATAATTTGGAGCCTGGAGTCCAACATATCCAAGTACACATTCCTTTCCAAATACGATTTTGATCCGAATTGAATTTGCATATTGAGTAGAATTTAGTAAGCACATAGTTCACCACCATTCATAATTCACCATAATGTCTATATTAGATCAGAATTTGAACAGGAATACCTTTCCAAATAAGGAAAATATGATTGCAGTAGAATCCAAATATACTTTAATGCAGACAGAGTTCAATTAGCTTTTGAACATAATAATTTAATCAAGAATCCATCCCCAAATACAGCTTGAATTGGAATATAGCTTATTCTGGAAAGAAATCACTTGGCCTTTGCAATCAAATTTTAATAGTAACTCATTCCCAAATATGATTTAGCTTAAATGTGGCTAAACAAATAAAGGGCACATATCCCCAGACTCCCAAACTTGGTCTGGAGATGTGTTTGGCATGTGCAGGTCTCAGAGCTTTCATTTTCAGGAGATTTTGTGCTTTTGGGTCTGTGCAGGTTGCAGAGCTCAAAGCTGCCAAAAACATCATTTTTTCAATGTTTTTCCCTGGTGTACTCAAAACCACTGTAAAAACCAGTGATTCAATCAAAGCCAGGCTCGAATCTGAAAACGGAATCCGTTTTCGCTTTGCTGCCTTTCAAGCCTCAAATAATCAGACATTTGCTGTCACATAGAAGGTAAAAAACACCAAACACACTGTATGTTACAGTGTTTTCAAGCATCTGCAAGAAAGAGGCACACAGAGTAGAGTTGACACCTTCAACTAGAAGAGTGCAAAGGTAGGCCCTGGGCGGGGGGTGACCATATATATATATATATATGTTACCCCCCCCCCCAGGGACCTACCTTTTGGTTGCCTCTCCAGTGAATGAATTACCCATCTAGGACTGGGAGGAACGATCTCTCAACTAGGACCAGGACCAAATGAGACTGGAACCCAGGATCTCTCAACTGGGACTAGGACCAAACTAAGACTAGACGACCCACCTCAGATTGTACAAAAAATGAACTTCAAGTATAACGTCCTGTGCAATGTCCTGTATATTGTCTAATTATTGGGGAGCAACTAGGACTAGACCATTTAATTCTACTTCTTATAGTATTTGGATGTCAAGTATTACATTCTGGTGGAAAAAAAGTCCTGATTAATATTTGGTCCTAGCATGTAAATTCTGACTGGATATTATCCTTATTTCAAATTCAACTGTTCAGCTAGAAGTTGCATAGAACTTGACTAATATATTAACTACAATTCATAACGAACTTCCTTTGTAATGTCCTTTATACGGTCTATGTATTTCAGTAAGCCAGGACCATACTTGGCCTAGAACCAAGGATCTCCCAACTAGGACTAGGACCAAACTAGGACTAGCTAGTTCTGAAAGTGATTGAATTTCAATGTACAATGGTCTATTGGACAGGAAATCGTTTGTACCATTTAATTTGACATAAACAATCAATATTTAAGTTCGAATCTAAATCGCAATTTTTGCTGTATGTCCTTCTTAAGCTCCATTGAATTTCAATCAGAAATAAGGTCGAATTTGATAAAACATACTAAGTGGAATGCATAAGGAAAGAATCCAAAGGTCCCAAACTTGTGTCTTTCACTAGTCCCAACACTACCTTGGTCAGAAAACACCGTAAAACACAGTGTTGTGTAGCGTTTTTCATACTCAATTCACATCTCCACCAACGAACGCTCTCTAAATGCTCATTTGAACTTGAACAGGATTTAATTGGGACTCAATACTGAAATATTTGGTCAGAATCCTAATGGTAATCAAATTTGAGATTGCGAGTTTAAATAGAGTTCCTTTCCCAATATATACTTGCAATTCAATATGAGCTTTAACAGGATTTGATAAGGAAAGAACCCATATTCTCTAGACAAGTCTTCTTTGCAAACGCGAGTCCAGGCCCGAGTGAAACCCATTGAGACCGACTGAAATTTCAGTTGAGCCTGGGTTCAAGATTCCCTAGAAAACTTTGACCTGCAATCTTGAATGTGGGCCTAGATTGAAACAGATTGAATGAATAATCAGGACTTGGATGCTTGCACAACACTGTGCCAAAGTACGGCCGCGCAAAGTGCAATGTTGAATTTGGGTCTCGATTTAAACCGATTTAAATCGATTTAAGTTTAAATCGGGCATGGATTCAAGATTCAAGATTCAAGAATCCAGGCCAAACTGTTCCAGGGAATCTTGAATCCAGGCGTCGATTTAAACCGATTTAAACCGATTTAACTTAAATCGGGCATGGAGCCAAGATTCAAGATTCAAGAATCCAGGCCAAACTTTTCCAGGGAGTCTTGAATCTTGAATCTTGCCCGATTTAAGTTAAATCGGTTTAAATCGACGCCTGGATTCAAGAATCCCTTGAAAAGTTTGGCCTGAATTCTTGAATGTTGAATCTTGAATCCATGCCCGATTTAAATTAAATCGGTTTAAATCGGTTTCAATCAAGCCTGAAGCTTCCAGAACGTCCTTGGAAATGCTTCATTGCTCTCCCCAAAGCCCAAAAAAGGGTAGAAAACACTGCAAATACCAGTGAATTCATCAAAAAGGTAGGTCCCTGGGGGGGGGTACCATATATATATGTATACATGGATAGAAATACATGCATACATGCATGCGTATGTATTGCTCTTGCCAGCTCCTGCCTCCAGCATGTACTTGTGCACTTCGACGATTTTGTCGGGCGTGACCGATTCCGCCTTGATGGTTGCAGACGGTGGAGACAATGAATAAGCTGCTGCGAGTGCACAGTGCTGCTTGAGAACACAAAAACACAAGGACAGTTGGCCTGGCGTCTTGATTCAGGCGGCCATGCGTCTTGATTCAAGTTCAAATTGAAGAAAAGATGCAAAACTTCGGGGGAGAAGAAACTAACAGCATGTAACAATAATTCTAAACTTTACAATCTAGCAATTTTACTAGACTTGCTCGATTTGGCCACGTTCGACAACTCGAGCTTCACGCTGTCAGCTGGCAGAAAGAAATAAAGGGTGCCTCCTTCAACTTGTGCATAGCGCGGACGCCTCATGTTCTCCTGATGACTAAAAATAAAATATGACTTGCAAGATCTGTTTGCAAGGAAGCATTCGATCAGAACTCCGTCTGGTTGTAGACTGGAGTCTGACATCGGATCATGTCTCGATGTCCTGATCAGCTCAGACGTGATTCGCATGTTTCCCGCACATCTAGAGTGCTGCTGGGGGCCACCCAAAAGATGAAGACCATGTTCATAGGGGTTCCTGCACCAGAGATTAGGCAAATCTAGGCAACCGAATACACGTCCTTGTGGCAGTCAACAGTGTGAGCGGGCCTCTGACTGATGGCAAAAACTGCAAACACGGGTGGGAAGGTCTCGAGGGTAGGGACTGCTTCTGAATTACTCTGGAAGGAAACCAAGCAAATATACTATAGTGAGGACAGCAAATATCAAACATGTGGAAGAGTCAATAACCAAACATTGTTTCATTCATGATATTGGTGGCCTCTTGCTTGAAACAGCAAATAAGGCCCCCACCTTCTCAGACGAGTGCGGCTTCTGAAGGCCCATAATCTGGTGAATGCCTTCCATCACCTGCGAGCCCAAAGGACACGGGTGCTTTTGCACGCCTGGAGGCATGTCTAAAGCAACAATTTAAAGCCTCCTTCAACTTGGAATGACGTGTCTCGGAATCGCAAAACCTCATTCAGGTCCACGCCAATGTGCTTCTACCCAAATCCGACAACGCTGGCCCGCGCAATTGTACAGGCCATGCAAATAGCGGGCCTTGTTGCCTGCCTAGCAAGGTGACCCTTCGAACCGGTTGTCACCATGTCGGAACTTCAAGTGACGGTTCTCCAGCTAGGATACCCAGCTCCAGGTGTTCTCTCTATGCCTTGCACACAGCAGATCTGGAGTTTTCTCAAAAAAGTTCGGCTGGCTTCCCGCTGTCTGCTACAACCCTCGTGCTGTCTTGTCTGCCGCATCATCACTTGCTCGCCTTAGGGTCGTCATGGTGCTTCGCCAACATTGCGTCAAACTCCTGGAAGGAGAGGCCATACCTCAGCCAGGACCCGTGTATTCGCGCAGGAGGGTGATTCCAGACTGGCAGAAGGCACTAGATGATTGAGCATCCTTGATCCGAGCGCCGCGGGTAATTCTCAAAGAAACCCCTGAAAAGGAACCTGTGAGGCCCAAATCAATAGGATCAAGGAGGGATCAAGGATTCAGCAATGGCACAAGCACACAGTCCCACCCTTCTTCTCAGGGCATAAAGCACGAACTGCATGTTTGGAATGGGCGACAATTGCGTTGACAAGCTAGTGAGAGACCACCACTACTTCAAGACTGGGGAGTGAGTGCATGTGTGTGTATGTGTGTTCTCTCGCTGAAAAGGTCTCGCAGTAGTTGCGGTGTCCCAACCTTTTGGGGATGCGATACAGAAAGCCTTAGCAACACTATGCTAATTGACTCCCTCGCTCTTGGATTGTGCGCCAGCCAGAGCAACATGGTGATCGTTGTCAACATTGTGACGTGATGCCAAGGGCGGCACATATGAGCGATGTCCGAAAGAGCAATGAATTTATGCTCAAGCATTGTTTGGCAATGGTGATTCCAAAGTCGGAACTCCGCAGCTAGGCATAGTCCTGCTTCAAAGGAGTAGTGCTAGCCCCATATTGTATTCATCACACAGCGCATTTCTCTGCTGCTGCTCCTTGCACGGGCTCTTTTTCAGCAGCCCGCATGATGAATGCATTCTTCTTCCCTCTCTATTTCCCCGAGGCACTGGTAGTGATGGGAAGCAAGAATTCTAGGTGGAATGACAAGCAAAGGGCACCAAACACATCTCAGTAGAATCAAACTGTCCAGTTGGCCTGAAAGGAGTGCATGGGTTGTATGCATGAATAGCTATGAACATCGGTTGGCCAACAATTCTGGGAGTTGGCCGACAAATTTCTAATCACAATTACTTCGACGGGAGCTCTCCTGTTCGCACCAGCTGCCACATGTGAGGTCACGAGTTTCGCTCCCAATTAGGAAGGTTCACTGTGGTCTCCCAGTCTTTCCAGTCTACCGGAACTCTTGGTGCCAGCTCTATGCCGGGCGCGTGGACTCTGGACCCACACTGGGCATGGGCCTTGGCCGCCCGGCCGCTCCACAGGGTCGTCGGGCCTGGCGGGTTCCACTGGATTGGTGTTGGATTGATAGCTCATGGGCTGCTTGGGATTGGTGTTCGATTGTTTGTTGAATATGATCAGATTATTATATCACACAGCCTGCCCTGGCTAGGAATTCCAGCCACACGATGGCTGATTGAACATTTGCCGCTTTCGGCACTGGTGGAGTTACATGAATCGCGCTCACTATGGCACCAGGGGCAATCGCCATAGCTGCTGCCTAGCGCTTACCTCTTGATCAAACCTGAGCTGCCACATGTTGTATTTAGAAAGATGTCGAATTGAGCGATTGTGAAGCAATACCATCTTGGGCCAAGCAGCTCAGCAGCCCTCAATCGCATGCATCTGAAGCTAGGACTTGGTTATGCCTCACTGTGGCCGTCGGCGGCAAATACCGGAAGCCGAAAACCCTGCTGCATCGTGTTGGTATCAAGGAAGGTAAGCGGGACCCATTACCTTTGTGCGCCTGGTGTCTCTTCATACAGGACAAAGACTGCATAAAGTTGGGTGCTCCCCATCCCTCAGGAAGTCTTCCCGAGGCCTGCTTGTATCTTTGTGGAAACCGGCTCCAGTTGTTCGTTGCATGCGGATCGCTGATGTTCAATGTTGGTCGGTTTACCTTCAGCAGGGTGAACCTCGACAAAGCGCCGATAACTGGCAAAGAGGTGCAAAAAGCGCCGAATGAATTCCGCGCTGTTAGGTCGCTCGCCTCATTCCTACGATTTGATTTCCGAGGGCTCTGGCCATGGCACACATGACGCTTTTGGGACTGGCAAAAGGCTGGAGCTCAAATCCGGTCGAAACTTGCCAGCGGTGCTGAACCGCTTTCAGCTTCCTGTAGGTCTCATCAAAATCTAGCTTCCTGGGCTGGTGGCAAAGGCAAACCGTCGACTCTTGCTAGTGGAGGCTGATTTCACACACAGCAAGGCGCATGTGCTGTATCTTCATTCCACACTGGAGTTCAGAAAGTTAAGAAGGAGGCGGTTGTTGTTCAGCCACCATTCATTGTCATTTCATTGGGGGTGAGGGGTGGAGGGAGATTTACTTTGAATCTGGCGTCCCCTCAAACTGCCTCCTAGCCGTGCTCAGTATCTTCCCTGGTGGTGTATAGGAAGCTGCACACTTCCAGGCATTGAGAGCGCACTCCAACATGGGAACTCGTTCAACAAGAAGCACTATGAATGCAATGGGCAGTCACATATTGTGGTAATATGGACTAGCATGTTGAACATGCTATGCTTGAAGCACAGGCTATGCAATTGCAGTTGGTGTTCCCCTGAATTGCTGGGCATGCACCGCCTGTGCTTCTGGAAGGGAGGCCAAGCACCGGCTCAGCGCGTCTACCCGCCATTGATTCAAACAGTGTCATCGTGCTTTTCTGTTTTGTCCGTGCGCGTGGCTCATGCATCAATCAAAGCAAACGATAACGGTTGCCGGTACTGTCAAAGTGACCTGGAAACGGTTTGTTCGCGACAAATGTGGCCTTCTTGTCCAAAACCAAGGATCACTTCCGGGAAATTGAGGGGGGTCACTGCCAAGAATCGGGAGGGTAGCAGGGATCAATATGTCCTCTTACCAAAAATTAGAGGCATCCGGGCATCCAACCCCGGGCTTAAAACAGCATACAAATAAAAGAACGCCGGCCTTTTTTGAACAAGCTTGCCATACTTCAGAAGGACGACAGCTTGCTCTTCTTGCAGTGGCGAAGCATGAGCACATCTCACGCAAAGCACCACACAGGAGGATATGACTGGGACAAATGCTCCTTGCGCTGAGAATCCTGCGAGTCCTTGGGGTCAGTCTCCGCACGTCTAAACTCAAAAGCGAGTGAACATTGACCGCGACGCGCCCGCCTAACAAATCGTAACATCAGTGGGACCCAATTTCAGGCTTTTGCAATTGTTCATATCTTCCTGCAAAACCAAACTCGACCAAATGTCCCCCACTCTTGGTACTTACAAGCCGAAATCCAAGCGTATCTTTCTGCGGAAACAAACTGTGAGTTGGAAGCGCAGCGTTGGAGAAGACCTTTCTTAATGCCAACGACATGTGTACCAACTCTGCCTACCATTTAGCAAGGCTAAAAAGCGCTCCAAAAAACATCGATGGCTGCAAGATTGCCGGAGTTGGCTGCAAACTTGATCGGGCACTGACTGTTGACTGCGGACCACAGACCTTGCAAGTCAATCCCATGCTTGGGCGCCCCGCTGTGATCGCAGCTCCTGCGTCAAACTCTTCATGTGCGCCTGACAAGAAGAGTAAACTATCTGCCTACGACTGGAACATTGCCTTTTGAAGATGTTACTCATGAAGCCAACGCTCGTCGCGTGCCCCTTGTCTTGCCGAAGCCGACTTTGGCATCTCTGTGCCAACAAGTCTTTGCAGAGCTGTGTCAAGTTCAAATCCCGGCGTTGTGAGCTGTTTGTGACAAAAGCTTTCTGTTGCACTGGCGTGGGCCAATCTCAACCAGAGAAACTTGTGCAGGGGCTAAATCCATACCAGCAAGCTTGTGGCGCCCACGGTTTTGATCTAGGTCTATCTTTCCACCATCCGTATCCCAATGTCACAGGGTCTACAATTCACCTCGTCAGCGAGTGTTGCTGCTGACCATCCCTTCGGGTTCCTATCATGGGGCTAGCCGCACGGCTCGTACCGACGTTCAGAATTTGAGCTGCAATGTAGCTTCTGAGCCCCGCAACACGTAGCAGTTCCCCTCAAGAATACAGAAAAGGATCTGATACCGTGTCACTCATCCATATCCAAGAGGCAAAGTGCTGCCAGGTGTGACTCTTTGCAAGATGGCACCAAAGACTTCTTCTTCAAGACAATGCTTCTGTTGCTCCAGATTGGAATCCTTCTTAGAGTGCCAAAGGGCTGAAGGGGGAGGCTACTCCTGCGAGATCCCCCCCGAGGAAGGGCAACGACAGTCTGGAAACTCATGTCAGGGAGCACCAGCATCTTGCTTTGGGACGTCACAATCTCTGACAGGATCTGCTGCACCTGAAGCGAAGAATCATCTCCCACTCAAATACCCAACACCACCCGCAGCAAGCATATGAAACTGGTTGGGATCTGGGTGTCCCTCTATTTACAACTTACCATGCTTTTGAGCACATTGACATCCATAAACTGCCAAGAGTCAGCGTGCTGAATATCAACTGGGTGTGAATCTTAACTGGAGACCCGTTGACGGACATCATTTCGGTAATACTCACGCCCACTAACCTCTCGTGAGGTGGCTTCAACTAAATTATTGAGCCCCTTTTGACAGTGTTCATCATTCTGAAACGCAGGAAGCCCTGCACCATCTTGGCACGATCAAGGGACCGTCCGAAAGGGCAACGGGTGAACACCCCAACGCCCTAGCAGCCGAAACTGTGCCCATCCAAGCCTTATGCAATCCCATCAATTGCTCGTCAATTGCTCGAGTGTCGTCTTCTAAACAAGAGCCGTTCAACAAAAGGCGGCAAGGAGCAGTTCCGGATCGGCGTATCAAGCCGATTGCCCCTTCACTGCGAGGAGTTGACCTTCAGCATATTGCGTACGCTTGGTCTTCTACAGTTGTTTCCACAAGTGCTCGTTGACCTGAAGAGAAAGTGAAGCAAGCTCATCTCTCTCTCGCTCACCTGCTTGAAGCAATCAGCCTGAAGTGCTGATGAGACTCACTCGACCATAGGGAACAAAGACAGTCATGGCCGAGTGCCACATTCACAGCGTAGCCGGAACACAAACTCCTCCAGTTGTCACCATCTCCACACTCTGGCGTCGGCTGTAGTTCAAGCCCACTGAGAATGGGCAATTATGTCAAGCTGATGCGCAAAGATAGCCGTTCACGACAGATGGATACTGCGATAGGATACTTGAGCAATGTGGCTGTGCCACAATCAGGCCCATTCAGCAACATGGCCCCAAGAATTCCCCCCATCAGCCCGGCCGCACCTTCGCCAGTTCACTCCCCTGGAGCAGCGCTTGGCAGATTGCAAAAGCAACTCAGAAACACTTGCTCTCACCTCAAGACGCCGTCAAGACTCGCCACGCGATTCCACAGCATCCGGAAAACGACAAAACACGGAAACCAGTGCAAATAGCAACCTGCTTTTGCCAGCCTTCTCGTCGCCCTCTGCTCGCCTCAGACTCACATCAGAGTAGACCAGCCTATCACTGACACTTACGGCGGGAATGAATACGCCATACCTCTCATGGCATTGTTCATGACCCCAAAAGGGAGCAACGACTGGCAAGTCTGGTCTACCATGCTCAGCCACCAATGGCAGCGTTGCAGGCGCAGGGCGAAGATGCGTCTGTTGCGCCCAACAACAATGTCTAGCATAAATGCAAAGTGACACAACACGGCAACGTATCAAGCACTCGGCGTGATGTGACACAACTCGAGTGATCGGTTGAGGTTGCGCCAGGAGAGATGAGCTTGCTCAAGAGCATGCCAAACTAGCTAATCAAAGCAAGTTTAGCAAAGAAAGGCAGAGCAAGACAAGGCAGGGAAGAGGGGGGAAAAGCATGCACACGTAAAGACAAGCGCACAAGCACATAGAGAGAGGAAAGGTGCATAACCGCCCAAGTGCTAGCCAGCCACTTGAATCAGCGAGATAAGAATCGAGAAAATCACGTGAGAAGAAAATTGAGATAGGCTGGAATAAGAAGAAAGGCAATAAGGGAAGCCTTAAACATGAGACGAGGAGAAGAGAGGACAGATAGGAAAAGAGAAGAAGAGATTAGAGGAGAGGGCAGGAGAAGATGAAAAGAGAGGAGCGAGAAGAGGAGAGGAAGAGAAAAAGGATAAGGACAAGAGAAGAGAGAGCAGCGAAAAAGAGAACAAAGAGAAAGACCAACACGGAAAAGAGAAGCGAAGGCAGTGGGCAAAGAAAATAGTTACTAAGGAAAAACAAAGGAGAGGCCAGGCCAAGCAAGGTCAAGCACGGCAAAGAACGGCTGTCAACATTGACTTTGCACAATGAGTAAGCCGTTCATGGTCTTCCTGATCCTTTCCTTCCTATCAGTATTGTTATTGTTTGTTATTAGGGGTTCTTGACTCGAGGATCGTCTCCTTGTTTGCTCTTCTACCAACAGCAATTCAAAACAGTTCCCCACACGCCACAACAAAGAAACTGTCATCTACTGAGATTGTCTCTGTCATCCCGAGGCATACGGCGGAGGTGCACCGACCATCCGCAACTCCTAACCTTGCCCAAAGGGGTGCATCGAAAAGGGGGTCCAGCAAAGCGTTGCTCAAGCCTTGGCGAGATGTGCGCAAATGCGACAGAAGCTGCTGGAATGCCTCATCAACATTCCGGGGTTGCTTCTGCCAGCTTTGGATGTGTTGCGCTTTGAATCATTAGGCAGCAGCAGCAGCAGCAGCAGCAGCAGCAGCAGCAGCAGCAGCAGCCGCAGATCATCCGCCATTAGTAAAGGATGTCTCGGCGTTGCAACAGCTCGGAATTGCATGGCTCTGTGGGCCCGGCGACTTCTCGTGGTCTTCTTGCAGAAGATACCACAAGACACATCCGGCGCCTGGGCAGCGACTCGACTGAAGATGTTTGGGTCTCGGATGGACATTTGGGCTGGAAAGATGTGAGTTCATGGCACGAAGACATGGTGCCAATATTTTGGAACTGAATGCTATGCCATTCTCTAACGCTCGCGGGTGCACCCCACGACACAAGAGATCTGGACTCAAAAATCCCTCCAACATTGTCTGTCCACTTAAAGAATGCCTGCCAAGGTGAAAGGGTTGTGAGAGCATACATGTATTTGGGCAAAAGGATCCACAGAAGAGCCGGCCACTTCACCATTTGCACACGCTACAGGAGGCTACGTGTGCGTTAACTGCCCATGGTTGATTCACAGCAGGATTCCTACCCTGCTGTGCACCACACCCATTCAATCAACGCCCCCTCAACACAACGCTCTCTGCCTGCAGCACCAGTCGCGGCCAAAAGCGCCTTCTTCCATCCCTCCATGACAGAGACAATAAGCCTGGCGCGGTTCTTTTCCCTTCGGCCAAATGCGTGTGTCTGTGAGAACCGATTCAAAGTTGACGCCACAACAACTGATTGAATCGAAACCACATCCCCTGCTCATGCTTGATCATGCCACGGGCCTACAAGTGTTCTGGGTGCCAAGGCCATTATACAACAAGGACGGCACTCAACAATTTTCCGGGTGGAGAGGCAACTCCCATTGACCTGCTACCATTCAGGCCCGCTTCCGGGCAGAGACTCCCCGCGTTCAACCGGCCTCTTGGCCCAAGGGCGGCGGTGGGCTTGGGCCAAGAGCAGAACCACAGGCCGTCAAACCACGCGCCAAATGGCGTCAAATAGGACCTCCCGCCGTTCACCCGCCGCGCAAAGCCTAGAAGCATTGCATATTTCAGCTGCTCACCACTTCTGAGAAGACTGTAGAACAGTACCATTTATCAATAATACTCTGTCAGCGGCAGTAAGCTGTGTCGGGTACTTTCAAAGGGCTCTGTTGGTCAAACCAGGCTTTGCCCCCTCATACATCACAGCTCCCTCCCTCACTCTCCCACCCTCCCCACCCGCCCACCCACCCACCCACCCACCCACCCACCCACCCACCCACCCACCCACCCACCCACCCACCCACCCACCAACTCACTCACTCTTTCACTTTCGCTTTCATTCGCTTACACTCACTCCCTTACTCACTCACTTCCTCGCTCGCTCACTCCCGCTCACTCCCTCCTCGCTCGCTCAGTCACTCACTGACTCTTCACACTCTCTCTCTCTCTCTCTCTGCCCAGTTTGCTTGAAATGAACATTTGCTGCGTGCGTGTGATGCTGGATGCCGGGGTTTCAGCAAGGCCGCCCAAGTAGGTTGATATGTGCGGTTTTCTCGGAAGGGCGTCAACAGAACAAATCCCACATTCTATCTTCAGCCCTGGCAGCAAACATGTACAATCTCATGTCCCGGCTTCCCTGGTAAATCCAGAGAAGCTTGCTTCGTGTCCAACACCCCAAGGCCGAGCTGGAGCACTCAACGCAACGGCTCTTTTGCCCAACCGGCACCGGCTGCAGGAGACCTCTTGGGAACGCACAGGCACTCCCTTGGCTGTTTGTGCAAAGTGCATGCCGTATCTGAATTCTGCAACTACGCAAAGCCGCAGTTGGGAAAAACCTGCATGGAACTTTCAGCAGGGCAGCTTCAATCGAGTTCGATCGAGCAATCACCGCTCGAATGCAAAAGTTCAGCGCCGCGCAGGGGCGCAAGGCAAAGATTGGCTCCCCAGGAGTTTGAACGTTAGTTCTCTGGGCGCTGACTTCTATCGTCTGGCTTCTGTGATAGGACATTCACCAAGGCATTCGTGGCTAGAAAACTGGGGGCCTTTGGAATTCAGACAACGACTAATACTATTGTGCCTGAGCTTGCTGCCAGCTTGGAAAAGAGTCTCACGGAGTGTAGAAGATCATTGGATGCTGATATGTTCGACACACAATGGCAACCATGATTGACCTCTCCTCGCTGTGAAAGTTGCGAGGCACTCCGACGAATATCCTTTGGAATATGTAGTGTGTTCAAGTCACCACATGTCAGCAAGCATTTGCATGGCTGTTGCAAACCATCTGCAATTGTTTGCTTCGTTATAGTGCGTACCAGCTTGCCTTTCACTCGTGAATTGGATTGGCAGTGTAGCATGTGACAACAGAATGGCGGGCTTGTCCAGATGATGTTGGCCATTTGTTTGCTGGCAAATCCGAGTTGGCTCGACGCAATTTGAACAGCAAAGCTTGCCAAAATGACCCCCTTCTTCACGTGTCAGGGCAATGATCTGAGATCTCGGTTGTCTTAGTGTATTTGACCAATGGCGTAAACGATCCGCCGAACTGGCAAATGCTTCATGTACACGAAATCACATGCAATTGAAGTGCCGAGCCCAAAATGCCAAGCCAAGCCGGGCCGATATCCCGATGCACCTTACATGACGCATTGCTGCGAGGCTCTCTCACAAGCGAAGGTGACGGAGGTGTAACCTCGCTGAGCAACAAACAGTTCGATAGGATGTGGGTTCTTTGCGCTTGTCCATGTAAAATCAGCCGTCTGACTCCCAAACCTTTGGTGGGTGAAGGGTGGTCACTAGATGTTCAGGTTCGAGCCATTGAATTGTGCCATCCCGTTGGACCATGAACCAAATCAAGGCCCCCTGGGAAGGATTTTGACGAGAAACTTTCGCAGTCCAAGTGCCCAAGAGCAAATGGTCATTGGGGCCTCCATCCAGTATGTGTCGTTCCCAAATCGTGAAATGAATCTTTCTGAACGACAAAGGATTGTGCAGCCAAACACTGGTTGACAACAGGTCCAGCACCGCGCAAATGACACACTGAGGTACAAAAGGTCCTGCTTCCATGGAACAATACAAAGCAACCAAAATATCCTTCTGCGGGACATGTTCGGCTTGTGAGGTTTTGCCAATGGGACAACTGTTAATCTTCTTCACGCTTGCTAAATAGCTGACGCGTTTGGTTGCGTTTGCATTTACTCGCTTCCTACCTTGCTTTGATTCCTTTCCCCCCTCAAATGTCATTTGTCCAGAAAGGTAACGTCCGAGCACAAACTCCGAGCTTGAAAAGCCTGCAAGCGTGATATGCGTAATTGGGATGCTGTGTCAAGGGCATCAATCAGAACTGATCCGAATCAAACAAACTTCCTTTTTAGTAAACGCCAAAGCTAGATGTACTTCCATGACCTTCAGAGGCCCTTGTGGGAAAGCCACCAAAGATACCAGGACCGCTGTGGATCCTGGATTCCTGGCTTACCGCCAGCACAGATTAAAACACAGGCTCGACGATTTGCGCAGAAATGGATGGCCTCCTTTTAGCTTCCCTCCTGAATCCCACATTGACTGCAATGTTCTTTAGACCCGCAACTGCGTGGAAAGAAACTGGAAAATGTGTCTCGGCCAGGGGCTGATTTGCTGCGGCCGCACTTTGGCAGCTCTCAGCTCCTGAAGGAGCCAAACTGCCAGCTGCCATCGTCCAGCGTCTTTGCAGGCACCTGGACAGGCGGTGCCCCCCCGCCCAGCTGGCTGCTGCCATGAGTGCCCCATCCAGTCCCAAAACAAGATGGAAGCCTTTGCCCAAACGGACATGCAAAAAGGAGGGCTTTGAGCACTAGCTGCATGATGATCCAACTGCGGATGGTGTAGGTAAAAACTCAAAAGTCAAGACCTGGGGCAGTCAAGAAGTGGGAGCCTTCATGCTGCCGCTAAGTGACTTGCAAAGGACTGATTCCAAAATATCAGAAACAAATCCAGAACGATGCTTATACAATTTTCCGCGGCCAAGAAATGACGGGATTCGAGTTCGATTTGCAAAGGCACTGATGGCACTGTTGTAGGTGATTTCATCGGGCACAGCAGCTGCCAGCCGCATCTCGGCCAGGAGGCACAGGACCATCTGCCACTGACCGCACTTTTCACAGGCGCTGACAGTACTGCTGCAGCTGATCGCCTCATGGCAGGAATTCCATTCATGACTCATGTCCCAACCCCCGGACATTCTGGCCCCCAAACAGCGAGATGTGCAGTCCTTGCTGCGATGTGCCTTTGGATGCAGGTGTCAGGCATTGACAAAACATCGGGTGACATGGTCATGGTTCTCTTGTTATGGATGCTCATACGGATGTAGGCTGTCAAAGCCACAACTTCAGTGTTAATCACCATCCCTATAGCCCCTCAAATTGCTAAACAGGTGGTTGGAAACCCATCCTCGCATTCAAGCGATCCCTTGGGCACCCTTCCGCCTAGCAACTGGACAACAGCTTGTGAGCAACTGCTTGGACGACAAGAGCCCTCATTGGCGCTTGACAGTGTTAGGATACTTAGAGGAGTAGAACATGCTGTCTTCCCTTGCATCACCAATCTCCGCGGCGAAATGTTTGACGAGAGTCATTTGGCAGAATAACAGCTGCCAGCATGTCGTCCAAAATCTGAAGCGCGCACTGCCATGCGCCTGCCTCACAGGCACTGATTGCACTGCAGCAGCTGATCTCATCAGGGTCGATGTCAGCAGAGGCCATGTCCTTGGATTTGAACTTCACTGATATATAATATATAGTCCCGACTGTCAAAACGAATCTCAAAGAGGACTCTTGTTTTCAACACAAAGAGCTGGATCCAGAAATAATTAAAGCTTACTTGAAAGTTGAAGCGGCATCAAGCAAAAATATGGCAATCTGCCACTTGCCTGCCATTGCTGCTGCACTGATTGCGCTGCTGTAGCTCACCGCATTCGGTAGCACTACCCGCTCAGGAAACTCCATCAACAATCCGAGCGCGATCTGCCAGTGCCCAGCTTTGCCACAAGAGTTCACAGCCGCATTGAAGCTGAAGACGCTGGGTGTTGACACGTTTGCCAGACACCATGATAAGCATTGAAGCGCCATTGCCCAGTTCTCTCCACATGCGGAAATGCTGTAGCGGTCGGGAGTCACAGCCCTCCCCGGCATCACTTGCCTAAGAGATGTCACCAGCAACCTTCGTCCGCTGGAAGATGCTTCATTCTAACAAACACATGTCGCAAATTGTGGCAGTTCAACTGACCCGCGGGCTCCAAAGACTCAGACAAAGGCAAAAAAAACCAGCTCAATCATGTTTGTTCGTAAAGCGCACTGCCCTTCGACAAAGCACCTGGACACACCAATTGCTTGCTGAATCCTGGCAGCATTTAGGATGTTGATGACACAGTTGCTAAGCTGCTAAGGGAAGCAGCAACTTGCATGCTAGAGTTTGAATGCTGATGTTGTCACGAAGAGCGGTGAATGGCATCCTTTGAAAGAGATTGTGACAAGTTGTGCATGTCCCTCCCTCTGTTTCCCTCACTTCCACGGTCAGGAATGCAAGACTCACACCTGTCTGGGCGGCTGAGTTGGCGGCTGGGCTGGATAGCTGGCTGGCTGAGGTGAGGGTGCCCTTGACCGCGCAGAGTCAAAGGCGACTCTCAGGGACAAAGCGAACGGTTAGCTGGTCAAAACTCTTCTTGCTCGCTTGCCCCAACTGCTGCTGAACCCATCCCTCTTTAGGTTTAGGGGTCCCAAAAACGGAAGCGAAAACTGTCGCCGAACAGTTCCCCCCTGCCCCCCAAAAAAAACAAAAAACATGCGGAGCCACAAGAGATGCAGCGCCCGCGGCCACGAGCCCATGGCGCTGATGGCGGTGCTGAAGCCAATGACGTTGAGCTGCAGATCCAACAACGCCAGCACCAAATGCCACTGCTCCGCACAAGTGCCTGCAGAGAATGCATTCATGTGGTTGTTTACCTTGCGTACAATGAATATGAAAAGCACTGAACAAAACACAGCACCCAAAACTGCCCAAAACAATGCTTTGTGCATCTGTCGCTTTTATGGGCGTGGTCATGCCTGCTGCAGAGTTCACGACCAGCATGAATCATGTGCCTGCATGTGATATTTGTAACCCGGTAGTGTTTGCAATCTTTGTGAGTGCTGACACTCACACGTGTAAGACGAGTCTTTCTCAATTTGATTGCGCGGGAGCTATATAAACAGAAACAGCTTCTATCTAATCAGTACCGAGGGAGCGTTAGCTCATTCTTCGCAAGAAACACAACACGAAGATTCCCAAAGTCAACATATTAATAATTGTTTTCCCATCCTTCCTGTGATGCAATTGCTCAACACTTGTCTAAGTCTTGATCAAGCTTGCTATCCTCGGAAAAGCACCGCTGGCTATTAGGAACTACGACAGCAAGCCGACGGCGATATCGGAAGTGGCGACACTGGAAAAAAGAATCGGGCAAAGAAGAATATGTCCGCTGCCATCATGTATGTGTGTATATATCTCTCAGACCATGCGTCCACAACCGTGGAACAGGGACCGATCGGGGCGACCGGGGCACGGATCAGGGCGTTGCAGGTGACTGTGTTCCGCGGTATTGGCGCCAGGGCCATCTCTTGCCAGAGCCACAGCGCTCGCCGCCAGGGGCCTCAACCCGAAGCGAGCGAAGGTGGTGTGGGAGGCTCGTCTTGGTTTGAAAGTGCCGAACTTTGAGTGAGGCACACCCATGTCCTCTCCGCCCTGCAATCACCTGGTGCATCAGAAGCGCAGCTATTGGTAGAGTATCCCCTCGCTTCCTGTGAATGTAGAAAAAGGGGGGCGGGCGCTGGAATGGGTACCTGGAGATACTGCAACTGAAGCTGGGTTTGATGCTTCCTTGTCCCAGCGGCCCATGGCCATAGCGCTGCTGAAGCCAAACACATCCCGCCGCAAACCCGCACCCTGCATGGTCTGCAGCAGACTGTGGGCAGTTGGCCACCGGCCTTGGCTCGTTCAGCGAACCAATCGAGTGAAAACCACAGAATCCCTCAAGGTACAAGACGTCCCACGGTTCATGGTTCAGCAATCGTTATCCATCTGAGTCGTCGCCCATAGAAGATGTCCGTACCATCCGCCCAGCGGCATCGGGAGATGGCAATGTTGTAGTTCTTCGCCGACGGCTCCACAGTGTGTGCCAGCAGGTTCTGGACAGGCGCATTCACTCTCTTGAGACTACCCACCCGTTGATCATGCTCAGGAAGCCAAGAGGAAACCGCTTGGTCGGAGGGCCATACACGTGACGTGCCTAATATTGCAAGTAGGCAACACAAACTTCTCTGTGTCTTACCTTAGTCTGTGGTCTCTTCATGAAAGCCGTAGAGATCCACAGAATTTCTCGAGATTCCAACGCCAATGGTCGGTCCAAGGGGGCAACCCTCTGCAACGCGGTGCCCCCTCCTGAAGCAGAAACTTCGGCGGGCCACGCCGGAGGTCGCCTGCGAGCATGCAAACAGCAGCTGGCCTTTCTGGCAGGAAGCCACTTTGAAGCATCCCTCCCCCTGCGTGGTTTGTGTAAGTGATCACTCCAAAGCTGGCGAGTGTTCATATAAACAGACCACCAGAGTCTTATGCGGGCAAATTAGAGGCAAAACCACTGGCCCTTTGCATAAAACGACCACTGGAGGATCCTGGAAGGAAAAGCAAAACACATGCCTCTTGCATCATATATTGGGGTCGTGCAAGCCTCCCTGCATGAAACATGTTCAACTCACCATCTTCGAATTGTTTGCCCCTCCTTTTGAAGAACACGATTTGGTTGAATGTGGGAAATAAGTGTGAATGACCTCAAAAGAAGTTGAGAGGCAAAGCAATGGATGAGCGGATAGGTTTGGGGTGGCTTGGGTATTGCATGTTTACGCATGGGTGGGGAGGTTGGGCATGCATGCCAGCAGCGGCAAGCCTTTCTTGTTCGCCAGACTCAGCAAGCTCAATCCCCCCAATAGCCTTACATGGCGACGCCCTCAAGCAACTGGATGCCAAAAGGCGACCCAACATTGCTCTAGAGGATACATGGCTCAAGCGGTAACGGTGTTTTTTGTTTTTCTTTACTAGGGCTGGTTTTTTCCTAGGGCCGGTTTCCGCAGCGCTGGCAACATCCCCAGCATCACCAGCATCACTTGGATCTGGGGTTGCCTATTGGCTGGCAGTTGGGAGTTGCTGGGGGCAGGTTTAAGTTAGGGGGCTTTTGGCTGGCTTAGATATTTATGAGGGTGGGCTTTGGGGTGGTTTGGGGTTGATTCAGGCGAAGCGAAGGGCTGATATCCAGGCTGCTGTTGAGCGGGTTTTGGGTTTGGGTTGGTTTGGAGCTGATTTGTGCTATATAGGTGTGCTGCTGGTTTAGCAGCGGCTTTAGGGTTGCTTTAGGGTGTGGTTGAGTGAGTTGTGGGCGAGTTTTGGGGGTTTGGGGCAACGCTCCAAAACCGATCCTAAACGAGACCAAAACTTACTTAACTATACCCTAAAGTAACTCTTAAAGTCACACCCCAACGCAACCCTAAAGCCGCTGCTAAACAAGCAGCACACCTAGCACAAAGCAACTCCAAACCAACCCAAACCCACTCAAAGTCAACCCTACACCCGCCCAACAGCAGCCTGGATGTCAGCCCTTCGCTTCGCCTAAATCAACCCCAAACCACCCCAAGAACCGCCATCATGAAGATCTCTTCCAGCCAAAAGCCCCTAACTTAAACCTGCCCCCAGCAGCTCCCAACTGCCACACAATCAGAGCCAATAGGCGGCCCCAGAACCAAATGAGGCTGGTGATGCTGGGGATGCGGCCAACCAAACAACCAACCAACCAACCAACCAACCAACCAACCAACCAACCAACCAACCAACCAACCAACCAACCAACCAACCAACCAACCAACCAGGGGACTAGCCCTAGTAAAAAAAAATGCCCTAGGAAAAGAAACACAGGATCCTAGTTCAAGCCATCGGACAACAACAAAAAAACGTCCGAGACTCTGCCTGCGATGTCCATGGCGACCATGACATGGCTGGCGTTCGGGTAGGAACCGTCTACTTAATGGATCAGTCGTGGAGATCACGGTCCCATGATGCCTTCTTGTTAGAAATCCCAGGTCCAAATGTATATCTTAAAAATGTGCCGCAGTGTCTTTGAAGAAGTGTGCTCGACATTCACGAAGAAAGACAAGGGAGAGCGGCGCAGTGAACCCTCAACGTGATTTTGATCGGTGGCCCATGACCTTACGTGGTGGAAGCGAGGACATCTCCGGGATGTCATCCAAATCCAACCACCAAGAAATGGTGAAAAGGTGGACGGGTGGGTCACCACCCGGTAGGATGATGCATCTCTGCCTTGCACCTTATCAGAAGTGACGGTTCTGACAATGATGTCGCATAAGGGGTCATCTGCGTTTGCAAGATTTCCTGCCACTTGTAGCAGGTCCGAGCCCCTGGTTGACAATCTCGTCTTGCCTTGTGGGCGCGGGCATGATCATGCATCTGTAATCCGCGTCACAAGAACAGCTCCACAGAAGTCTTCTCTCTGGGACAAAGGAAAACAACAGCACAGCGAAAGTGTATCGCCTGTCCAAGGACGACTCAAATGGCCGATCCCAGAGTTCGCACGCTCCCCAGCCGCTTTCTAACTCGTCGCACGTGGCGCGCTCCTAGTTCTAACAAAGCAATTTTTGGGCGTGACCGCTCAATGACGGGAAAGCAGAGAGGAGAAGGGTTGCGCTCCGCGGTTTTGCCAAAAAAAGGCAGCTCCTCATAAACAGACATGCTTGAAGGAAACCATCACAGACTATGGTCTATCATTTATCACAAGATAATCCCTGTTCCCAAATTGCAACAGTGAGGTCTTTGCGGATGTATCATTGCCTCAATAGAGGCCATGGTAAGAGGCTGAGTTTGTCAGAAACGGGTACAAAGCCTCCCTTGCACTCAAGGGTCCTCAAGTGAAGCATACGCACATAGCGCAATAACCGCCGCCTGCTTTATAAAAAAGCAAGTGCGCTCAGTGTTGATGGAAGGGGATTGCATAAGAAAGTCGCCTCAACCATGCGATGTGCAAGCCGCTAGCCACCTCAACTCCAAGTGGGCCCCAGCATGGGGCTGAAAAAAAGCGAAAACGGCTGACAACCTCAAGCGTCAGTCGAGCAAACAACAAACACAACCAAAAAAGAGCTGAGGATCAAGTACAATGTTCAAACAGCAAGTGCACATTCATTCAGCACAACTCCTTCACCACCCCTCCATGCCAGAGCTCTAGGGACTCGTCGCAACACAAGCTGAGAGTCACTTGTGTGCAGCCGATGGACCAACGCACTTCTTCAGTACATCGATGTGACTCCCAGCAAGAAAAAGCCTGGCTCTGCGCAAAGCTGTGCTTGTCCGTGCTGGCATATTGGGGAGCAAGCAACTGTTGCAAATGCAGGCCGTTGATGTTAAGTGCTGATTAAATGACTGAAAACAGTTAAGAAATACAAAACAGTTTGACCACAAATATCTCCAGACCTGAAAGAGAACCAAGCGTAAGTCATACTTAGGGAGGACAAAGTTTGGCCCTCTTAGAACTGTGCAGCAAAACCCCCCAGCGGGTCAAGTTGGTCGGAATTGTGATTGCGTCTTGTGCAGAAAGGTGCGACGGGGTCAACTTTCGCCCCGAATAAATTCATAGTGATACAAAGGCTAGGACTTGTGAAAACTGACCGCCCGGACACGCTCTTTCACTTGCAGGATTTTAGGGGGAAAGGGTGTGAAAACTTGCTGCGGCGACCCAAAAGGGCACACTTTATCCTGGTGGATAATAAACCAATATCACCCGTGCTAAATAACTACAACTCAACGACTATTTGAGAGAAAGTGATCTGACGCCCATTTTGTTGTTCTTGCCCTTTGACCGTGGACCGCGCTTTAACAAACAGCGCCTTTTCCGGCCTCTGTATAATGCTCGCACGAATCGCAGCAGCTGAGTCAGAAGGTGCGGGAAATGCGGATGTCAATGGTACCAACCCCGCAACGGTTGAAAAAACACGTAGCAGACATCGGCTGATTCAGACCGTTCTCAATCAATACAATACATCACTACAAAATCCCTGGTTGAAACAGAGTCTGGGCCCAAATCAAAATCTATGGCTTGGTGTGCTGTATCCTCAGAGTAGGTTGGCACAATCAAAGGTTGTCAATGGTGGACGCAAAAAGTGCAAGCTGAGTCCATTTGAGTCCTATTGACTGTCAGCTGAAATGCAAACGGTACATGTGTCTCCACCCACCCCGGACCAACCTATGTTGAAAGCAGTCAACTTGTTATTCATTTGAATTAGTGTCCTAATGTGCATAATTGTTGCCAGAGTATATACTTGCCCTCCCATCCCCCCCTCCGCAAAGAGTAGGCGTATGACCAAATCAAGTGAATGCTGGACCGTCAGCAAGATGACCATGCAAACAGTTCAGGCAAACGTCTGCTAGTCAACCGTTTCATGAGTGCGCTGATAGCAGCGTACTGGATCTGAGACGGGCTTTTTTAGCCAGTCCAGATGCATTCACTAACTGCAGCGACCATCCAATTGCTGACGCGCAGAAGCGGAGCAGGTCAGAAAATCATCAAGCGCGAAAGTCAAAGTGTGCCAATGATGATTCCGTCTTGCTATGCGGCCTGCATCGAACATGGTATTGAGCATGCAGTTGGCACCACCAGATTGATCGCAAAAGCACTGCAATCATGGCCGGCTGCTTGTGAGGACACTGCGCCGCGCGTCAAAGCAAGGACGGTGCGTCTTCAGGATGCTTGCATGCTAAACCCCATGTCACTCCGTGACCCAAGCGGTGTGTCGTTGTAAGAGCAACACGTTAAACAAGCTACGAGTCCGGCTCAAATTTAATCCTCAGACAGATCTGACATCAGCTCCTGCTTCCACTCTTGAAAAAAAAGAAACAAAAGAAAAACACATTGCAGTCTACAAGTCTTAACCATGCTGAGGATGCCCATGGGGCGGAGGGGTCTATTTATTTTCTAGGTTCGGCGCGGCCTGCTTTAGCTAGGTTCGGCGGGGCGGTCCCAACCCAGAAAAGCCGCAGAGGGTTCCCCTTCTTCGAAACAGCTTGTTTTCAAAACGCTGCAAAGTGCGCAGAGGGTTCACTCTTTCGAAGAAGCTTGGTCGCAACAAGCTACAGACCCCGCAGTCCCACGGAGGGTTCACTTCTTTGAAGTTTGTTCCCAAAACGCAGCAAATTCCTCAGAGGGTTCACTATTTTTCGACCAAGCTTGGTCGCAAAGAACTACAAACTAGGGTTCACCCCTGATCGAAACAGCTTGTTTTCAAAACGCAGCAAAGTCCGCAGAGGGTTCACTCTTTCGAAGAAGCTTGGTCGCAACAAGCTACAGACCCCGCAGTCCCGCGGAGGGTTCACTTCTTTGAAGTTTGCTCCCAAAAGGCAGCAAATTCCTCAGAAGGTTCACTTTTTCGACCAAGCTTGGTCGCAAAGAACTACAAGCTAGGGTTCACTTTTTCGAAACAGCTTGTTTCCAAAACGCAGCAAAGTCCAGAGAGGGTTCATTCTTTCGAAGAAGCTTGGTCACAACAAGCCACAGACCCCGCAGAGGGTTCACTTTTTCGACCAAGCTTGGTCGCAAAGAACTGCAAACTAGGGTTCACCTTTCCGAAGAAGTCTGTTTCCAAAACGCAGCAAAGTCCACAGAGGGTTCACTCTTTCATAGAAGCTTGGTCGCAACAAGCTACAGACCCCGCAGAGGGTTCACTTTTTCGAAGAAGTTTGCTCCCAAAATGCAGCAAACTCCTGAGACGGTTCACACGAAGCTTGCTCGCAAACAACTACAAACTTTGCAGAGGCTTCACCTGTTCGATTAAGTTTGTTTCCAAAACGCAGCCAAGTCCACACAGACATTTTTGCGAAGAAGTTTGGTGGCAAAGAACTAAACTCTGCAGAGGGACTGTGAAGAAGCTTGGTCGCAAAGAGCGACAAACTCTGCACAGGGCTCACCTTTTTGAAGAAGTTTGTGTTCAAAACGCAGCGGTTCACTCTTTCATAGAAGCTTGGTCGCAAAAAGCTAAACCCCGCAGAGGGTTCATTTTTTCCAAGAAGCTTGCTCCCAAAACGCAACAAACTCCTCAGAGGGTTCACTTTTTTTCGCTCAAGCTTGGTTGCAAAGAGCTACAAACTCTGCAGAGGGTGAAATTTGTTTCCAAAACGCAGCCAAGTCCACACAGACACTTTTTCGAAGAAGTTTGGTGGCAAAAAAATAAACTCTGCAGAAAGTTCACCTTTCGAAGAAGCTTGTTTCCAAAACGCGTCAAAGTCCACAGAGGAACTAGCTTGGTCGCGAAAAGCTAAGCCCCGAAGAGGGTTCACCTTTTCAAAGAAGCTTGTTTCCAAAACGCAGCAAAGTCCGCAGAGGATTCACCTGTTCGAAGAAGCCATTGTTTAGGGTGGGTTTTGGTGCGGCTTGGGTTTCTTTTGGGTGGGTTTTATATTGGCCAGGTTTACGGTTGGTGTAGTGCTGCTTTGGGGTCGGGTTTAGATCCGCGTTGATTTTAGGATTGGCTTCGAGTGGGTCAGGGTAGCTTTAGGCTGGTTTAGGAATGATGTAGTGCCGGTGTAGTATGAGTTTAGAGGTGGTGCAGGGTTGGCTTCGGGTGGTTTAGGGTTGGTGTTGGGTTTGCTTAGTGTTTGCTAGGGTTGATTTGGGGTGGTTTAGGGATTGTTAGGGTTGGTTTAGAGTTGATTTAGGTATGGTTGAATTGGCTTAGGGGTGGTTTGGGATGGATTTAAGAATGGTAGAGTTTTTTAAAGGTTGGCATAGGTGTGGGTTTAGGGTGGGGTGGTTGCTGGCTTCGGGTGGTGTCGGGTTGGTTAGGGGATGCTTTAGTGCTGGCCCAAAGCTTAGGGTTGGTTTGGGGGGTTGCTTAGGTTTTGTTCAGGGTTGATTTTGAGGTAGCTTAAAGCTGGCTCAGGGTGCGTGTCGGGTTGGTTTAGGCTGGGGTTCGGATTGGTATAGGGTTGGTTTTGGGTTGGTTTAGGCTTGGTTCAGGGTTT